CAATGTTTAAACCATGAGGAACACATTTATAATACACACAGATCTGTACACTTTTTAGAAATATTTTTTTATTGTAATTTAAACACAGCCCTGCTCTTAACAAAAAAATTTGTTAATTGTCCAATAACTATGAGGTGTCCGATATCTGTCTAGTTTACCCTATCCCTTGTTTTGCAAAAAAAATTTAATTTTACAAAAAATGTTAATGAAAGATTTTATTCACTATTCGTAAAGATCATAAAATATCATCATTTGAAGGTAAGAAACTAATTTTTATTGAAGTTAATTTACACATTAGGTAATAGATCGAAACACCACTCAATATTACTTTCCCATTTTTTTTCAATTTAAAAGACGATTTTTTATTGTTACCGGCAAAAACCGAAGAAAATAAATTGTACCTTGCGGTTAAAGCACACGTTAAGAAGGGTAATGAAATTTTTACGATGTCATCAATTTTGAAAATTGTCCAGTTTCTTAATTTAATGCCGTATTAAATCTTGTTTCCAATAATTTTATTTATGGGCGTTTTATCAAACAAGAACATTCCCAGGATACAGTGAAGTCGTGCTTAACTCCTTTAAATTATTATTTTGTTGGTAATACAGTAGAAAATACTAAAAACTTTTTATAAGCATTTTTTGACTCGACTTATTTGCATGTTGCCTGAAGAAGTTTCGAACTAAAATCGAGTCTGAAGAAACCCATGTTATACGATTTCTCGTATAATCCCATCAAAACTTTCTGAGGATGCTTATCGTAAAAAATTGCCCCGAGGTCCCTTGTAAGATAAAAATCTTCACCCTCGACTAAAACGCACACTCTGCCCAACGCTTAGTCCCATAATGAGATAACATGTAAGTTTTTGCAGTCCCTTTCTTATTCCTAATGGAAAATCTGGCAGTCGGAAAATTATATCTTATATGCGCGTAATTCTATTTAAGTCCCGATTTATCGTCATAATAAATATTTATTATATTTAGTGTTCGACTTTATTAAAAGCAATGTGAGCAGAATTTTTACAGATCTAAAATCAATAGGATATGATGTCATTTAGTTATGAGTAGTTCAGATAAAAATACCAGAGAAATGCTTGGTTTTATTAGATATGCTTTTAAAAATTTCTTTATTAATTAGGTAACTATAGTTGTATATGTTACGGCTAATGTGCAAACTTTGATAGTTTATAAACTAGCCAAACTGTCAGCTATTTTAATTGAAAACATATTTTCAACTAATTTAGCGGCTAGTTTACAAAATAACCAAGGATTTTGGCTAATTTACTTCAAATTATTAGGGAAACTAAAATAGCTGTATAGTTTGTATACTATCCAATTCAGTCAGTCTAATATGAAAACCAAAATTTCTAGTAACACAAAATAGCCAAGCTTTAGCTAGTTTGTAAACTAACCAACCAATTCTCTGGCTAATTTATTAAAAAAGTGAGGTTACGGCATTGTTTTTCGTTTTGCCGGCTTAACCGGATTTGTTTTGTGCATTTTAACGTTTTTAAAATGAATCATAGGCAAAATTTTAACGCTTCCTTCTTAGAAAACTCAACAACACAACCCCACCGACCCCGCCCCATTGAGCAAAAAACCCAACTAAAATGGGCAATAGCCAGAGAATTAGTTGGTTAGTTTACAAACTAGCCAAAGCTTGGCTATTTTGTGTTACTAGAAATTTTGGTTTTCATATTAGCCAAATTTAATTGGATAGTATACAAACTATCCAGCTATTTTAGTTTCCCTAATAATTTCAAGTAAATTAGCCAAGATCCTTGGTTATTTTGTAAACTAGCCGCTAATTTAGTTGAAAATACATTTTCAATTAAAATAGCTGACAGTTTGGCTAGTTTATAAACTATCCAGCTAGTTTATAAACTATCCAAGTTTGCACATTAGCCGTAACATATACACTGAAAAAAAATGTTCCTGTATCAAATAAATTTATTTGATTCAAAACAATCTTTGTCTCATATATAACGAAGAGAATATATTCTTTAAAATAGTAATTTACTTCAAGAATCTTTTCTTAATGTAAGAAAATTAAATTTCTTCAAATAAAACTTTGATTGTTTAAAAGCAAGAATATATAATTTTTGAAATAAGGCAGCAATATTTTTAAATAAAAAAAATATTTATTGAATTCAAGAAAATGTATTAATAAAAAAAATTATTTATTTAACCAAAAATTTGGTTGTTTTACAGCAAGAATATGTTCTTTTAAAAATAAATCAGTGGTATTCTTAAATAAAAAAGATACTTAATTCAAGAATAAATTTTCTTACAAGAAAAACATGGGATATTGATATAAGGCAATAATTTTCTTAAATAAGATGTTTTCTATGACCCAATATTTTTTTTATTAATAGATACAAGATTTAAAATTTTATTTTATTGATTACCAAATAATATTTATTTTAAAATAATGCAACAATTATCGTTAAAAATAAAATAAATAAAAAAAAATAAAAACTTTTAGCAATGTTTCAAAATATCTATCATTTTGTATTTAAAATCAATTTTTTTTTCAATAATGAAACGTCTATTAACCAAAAATTATTTATTTTAATAATAAAAACATCTTTATATTTAGGAATATTACTGCAAGAAAAATAAAATTTAAAATAATAATTCGTCTAAAACTTGTATGGAACAGGTAATTTTAAATATCCTGTAATTTTTTAAGGATTGTTGTCTAATCTTAAACAAAACTTTATATTTAAATACTATTATTCAAAATTGAGCCAAACTTACTGAAGGGCCAAAGTATACGTTGTATTGTTTATGGGTAGTGCAGTGACCAAAAAAATTTAGGTTAGAAAATAAAAAAACAAACGTTGAACAAACACATTTATTTTGTTTTTAATACAATCAAAATCTAAAATGTATACATTATTATAAATTAACGTAGGGAACTTAATCATTATTATCGACATAGGCATAGTAGAATAGCAATTACATATTTTAATAAATAATTCAGGGCTATTTCCAATAAACTCCACTCTATATAAATCAAAATTAATGTTATACCCCAAAGTGTGTAACGAAATTACTTCTAAAACAAAATCTTTTTAAATGTTATAAAATAAATTAAGTTTATTAACTTAAAAATATAGAGCCATACAAATATATACAAGATATTTTGGTTATTACTGCAAAGCCTATTCATTTCTGTATAAAATAATTTTAAGGCATATTTAATGCATATTAGTAAATATTTAAACAATACACCTACCTACCTACACCGAAAAAAATAATGTAGTTGAGTTAACATTTGCCTAAATGTCATTTTTAAAAATGTTGTTTCAACAAAAAACCTATTGGATTAATCTATATTTTGGTGTTAAAGCAAAAGTCAGAGTTTGTCAAAGTTTATTTGTTCATTTGACAGTTTAAATATTAATTTAACATAAACTAATATTTTGAATTAAAATGTTTATCGTACTTTGATTTAATAGCTGGAATCACCTATTTGTAACCAAGGCATTTCTTACATTGACCACTTCATTTTTAAAATTTGTATTATTAAACACCTATGCTATTTCTAATCTTGTTCATTTTTTTTATAGTAGGTATTCTAATAAGTTTTTACAAATTCGTGAAATTTGTAAAATATTTTTTTCTACTTCTATTACGGAATATGACCTTCTAATATCACTTTTTAATGTGGAATGACATATATTCTTGAAAGTAGTACAGAATGAAATTCATTCAATGAATGAATATAAATACACTCACAGGCAAAATAATCGATCCACACAAATTTTCGATGAATTTCATTCGCAAATAACTTTTTTATTTGATATCGGATTTAAACGAATATTAAAGAATATTGTGGATAAATTAATGGACAATCGCTCAAATTTTAAAAAATTACTAAAAAATAGACGTACGTTTATAATATACAGGTTTAAACAAAAAAATGTTTTTTACCATAAGTTTAAGACACTGTGTAAACCGTATATTGTTCTAAATTAAGTTTTATTTATCAAGTAACATCTATTCTTAACAGTTTTGTTTTTAATTCACCTTGATATATTTATTTTTGTGGAAAATATGGATTTAAAAAAAAAACATTGCAATTTCCAATATTTTTCTGTATGGAGAACTAAGGGTGCTATGGTCCATCCATATGCTATGGAGAATCCCATACATATCATACACGGCTTTCAAAAGCTATCAAATTGTTTTTTGCAAATTAATGTTTAAATTTTGAGGTGTCTTCTTACTTTAAAAAATGAATGTGTCTCCGACTGATGTTGCCAGAGCCATTAATTTAATCCAGGATGGACGGTCACAGTATTACGTGGCAAGTGTTTTAAACGTCACAAGAAGTAAAGTACAAAGGGCAACATCAGTCGGAGACATTTTTAAAAGTAAGAAGACACCTCAAAATTAACACATTAATTTACAAAAAACAATTTGATAGCTTTTGAAAGATGTATATGACATGTCCAAGTTTGGGATGATTCAACAAAACTGTCACTGTCATCCTCCATAGGCTATGGATGGACCATAGCAACCTTAGTTCTTCATACAGGAAAAATATTGGAAATTGCAATGTTTTTTTTTTAAATCCATATTTTCCACAAAAATAAATATATCAAGGTGAACCAAAAACAAAACTGTTAAAAATAGATGTGACTTGATAATTAAAACTTAATTTGGAACAATATACGGTTTTGCCACTATGCAGAGTGTCTTAAACTTATGGTAAAAAATTTTTTTGTTTAAACCTGTATATTATAAACGTACGTGTATTTTTTAGTAATTTTTAAAATGTGAGCGATTCTCCATTAATGTATCTACAATATTCTTTAATATTTGTTTAATTCTGAAATCAAATAAAAAAGTTATTTGCGATTGAAATTCATCGAAAATTTGTGTGGATGGATTATTTTGCCTGTCAGTGTATTAATAAAAACTCCAAGTAAACACTGAAATTTTAACATTTTATCTTTTGTAGTATTTATGACATAAATGTATGTATCTTAGGTAACATCGGCTCCATGATCAGCAACATGAACGTGGCTAGAGTTGACTTCCAGAACCGAATGGACGGCGTGAAGCAGTACATGGCTTTCCGAAAGGTGGGCCGCGAGCTGGAGGCGCGTGTCATCCGGTGGTTCGCCTACACGTGGGCGGAGAGCGGGGCCTTGGACGAGGAGCGCGTCCTGTCCGCGCTGCCCGACAAACTGAAAGCCGAGATCGCCATCAGAGTGCATCTGGACACGCTGCGGAAAGTGAGGATTTTCCAGGATTGCGAGCCCGGCTTGCTGGAGGCGCTGGTGCTCAAGCTAAGACTGCAGGTAAAATCAATCAAAATCCTTAATTTTTAATAAATAACACAGTGCAACAGTGCAAAAGGGAATGGGATGAAACCAAAAGCAAATGAAAGGTAATAGCTTCTACAAAAATACCCTATGAGGTTTTTTTAAGATCACGTCTCAGTTTTTTATTATATGCATTTAAAGTTGGTAGATTTTTGGACACCCTATAATAGGAAAAAAATAAGTAAAACAATTTTAATTTTTTTTTAATTATTCTGGCAATATAGTCGAGGAATCCATTCCAAGTAAAGAACATTTTTACTAGAAAATTGGGCATTTTTATAAAAAAAATATTCTCTTTAATGCTTTAATCAAAACACAATACTTGTATACAAAAACTACATTTTTTTGTGGTAATATATTGTAATATATCGATTGTATTTTTACAAAAGGGCGAATATGCCATTTTCCTGTTTGATAAAAACAAAAAAAAGTATTTCGGCGTATTCGCCCTTTTGAAAAAATATTATTACTACAAAAAATTGCAGTTTTTGTAGCAAAAACGAGGTTGTTTAAAGGTAAAATTGATTTGTTTACTTAAACACACATAATATTTATGTACTATATATATTTACTATAGTAAATCAGCGACAGCAACATAAAACGTTTTTCTTAATTAATATATTTAATTAAATTATTTTTTTTATTTAAAGGACAATATAATATAAAACAAAACTTAGTTCCAAAATATAAAAATGTAAAAAATTGTACTTACAATATTACGGTATACATATAATTGAATATGTTAAAAAGTTTGCAGAACTTGTAATAACAATTTAATTAAATGATCACAAAAGAAAAAGAAGTCAATGAAATTTGGTGTTTCAATGTTGTGGTATAATTCAGGTATTTTTTTTATTTTTATACTAAAACATGGTATTTTTGATTATATTAATTATATTTTGCATTTTTATCAATTTTTGGATGAACAGCTGGAACTCCTGGTACTTAAACTCGTGTTACTGCCGGTTACAGCAGTGATAGTTTTTAAATAAAAATAAAATAGCGAAATTAATAATGTTTAGTTAAGAAGTAAAAATGCTATTTTTTCTTAAAAAAAACAAGTTTTCTATACTAATAAATCCAAAATATTAAAAATTGCTTTCGAATATCACCTAGGGTATATTTTACATCAAACGGATGACAAAAATGGATTTCTTACCTTCAAAAATAGTAAAAATTAGTAACAATTTTTTTATAGCGTCCTCTTCTGAGGGTCTTTGATAAAAATTAACCTCACAAATGGATTCCTCGATCAAATTAACAAAATTATTTTGAATAATTAACATAGGTAGTTTTATTTATGTTTTTCCTATAGGGTGTCAAAAAATTTACCATCTTTAAATGCGTACAAAAAAAAAACTGAGACGTGATATAAAAAAACCCTGATAGGATTTTCTTGTGGAAAGTATTAACTTTCATTTGCTTTTGGTTTTATTCCATTCCCTTTCGCAAACCTTAATTTTGTTTCACAGTGTAATGGGAATTTAAAAACAAGCAATTTAAGCATTTGATCAAAATCCATAATCTCCTAAAACCCATTTTGTTTAATTTAATTTCTATATAGCATTATTATTTACCACAATCTTATCGGAATTATGGATCAAAATCCATAATTCCGATAAAAATCCATAATAAATAGTAAATAATAATATAAAGTAGAAAATAGTTTAAATGTAAAAGTTTATTTTGAGATATTAATCTATTTCAATCAAAATCCATAATTTTTAATAAATAATGGGAATTAAAAACAAGCAATTTAAGCATTTCATCAAAATCCATAATCTCCTAAAACCCAGTTTGTTTAATTTAATTTTTATATAACATTATTATTTACCACAATCTTCTTTTAGGTTTTTAATATCCACAATTTCGATCAAAATCCATAATTCTGTTCAAAATCCATATTTTTCTAAAATTCATCGCCAAGTTTGTTTTATGCAAAAACAAGTATTTTGATATATTGATTTATATATAACTCCGATTAATATCCATAATTTTCTAAAAATTTGCCTCATTAAAAAACAATAATTTTAAGCCTATGATTAAAATCCATAATTATATTTAAAAATCAACGCAAGGTTTATTCCATTTAAAAATTGGCATTTCGAGTACATTTTGAGATATTGATCTATTCCGATCAAAATCCATAATGTTTAAAAAATAATGGGAATTAAAAAACAATCATTTTAATGGAGTTTGCCAAAGTTTGTTTAATATCCATAATTCCTATCAAAATCTATAATTTTCTAAAAATCGTCGCAAATTTGTTTCATTAAAAAAACAAGCATTTTGAGTTTATGATCAAAATCCATAATTTCGATATAAATCCATAGTTTTAAAAATCATCAATTCATTTCATTCAAAAATAAACATTTTGAGTACATATTGATCTATTCCGATCAAAATCCATAATCAAAACAAGTATTTTGATATATTCTTCTATAACTCCGTTTAATATCCATAATTTTCTAAAAATTATTTAAAAGTTTGCATCATTAAAAAACAATAATTTTAAGCCCATGATAAAAATCCATAATTATCTAAAAAAAATTGTTGGAAATTTGTTTCATTAAAAATCAAGCATTTTGAGTCTATGATCAAAATCCATAATTTCGATCCAATTCCATAGTTTCTAAAAATCATCGCAAAGTTTATTCTATAAAAAAATAAGCATTTTTAGTACAATTTGAGATATTGATCTATTCCGATCAAAATCCATAATTTTTTAAAAATAATGGATAAAACAAGCATTTTAATGAAGTTTGTTTAATTTAACTTCCATATAACTTCCATATAACATTGAATTTTTAGGTGTAAAAATTGGTATTACAGGACAATTGTTTATTATTTACCATTATCTTTTTTTAGTTTTTTTTAATATCCATAATTCCTATCGAAATCCATAATTTTCTAAGAATTGTCGCAAAGTTTGTTTCATTAAAAATCAACCATTTTGGGCACATGCTCAAAATCCATAATTCTGTTCAAAATCCATATTATTCTAAAAATCATCGCCAAGTTTGTTCCATTCAAATTTAAAATTCAAAATTTTAAGATATGATCTATAAATCCGATTAAAATCCATAATTTTCAAAAAATTGTTGAAAAGTTTGCTTTATTTTATTTTAAAACAATAATTTAAGCTTATGATTAAAATCCCTAATTTTCTAATAAATCGTCGAAAATTTGTTTCATAATCCATAATTTCAATCTAAATCCATAGTTTTTTAAAATCATCGCAGTTTATTACATTCAAAAATAAGCATTTTTAGTAACTCTTGAGATATTGATCTAGGCGTTGGTGCTCAAGCTAAGACTGCAGGTAAAAGGGATCACCAATAAAAAATAGAAAATAGTTTAAATGTAAAAGTACATTTTGAGATATTGATCTATTTCAATCAAAATCCATAATTTTTAATAAATAATGGGAATTAAAGACAAGCAATTTAAGCATTTGATCAAAATCCATAATCTCGTAAAACCCAGTTTGTTTAATTTAATTTCTATATAACATTATTATTTACCACAATCTTCTTTTAGGTTTTTAATATCCACAATTCCGATCAAAATCCATAATTCCGATAAAAATCCATAATTTTTTAAAAATTGTCGCAAAGTTTGTATCATTAAAAAACAAGCATTTTAAGCGCATGATTAAAATTCATAATTCTGTTCAAAATCCATACTTTTCTAAAATTCATCGCCAAGTTTGTTTTATGCAAAAACAAGTATTTTGATGTATTGATTTATATATAACTCCGATTAATATCCATAATTTTCTAAAAATTTGCCTCATTAAAAAACAATAATTTTAAGCCTATGATTAAAATCTATAATTATATAAAAAAAATCGTGGCAAATTTGTTTAATTAAAAATCAAGCATTTTGATTATTTATGATCAAAATCCAGAGTTTTTAAAAATCATCGCAAAGTTTATTCCATTTAAAAATAGGCATTTCGAGTACATTTTGAGATATTGATCTATTCCAAACAAAATCCATAATTTTTAAAAAATAATGGGAATTAAAAAACAATAATTTTAATGAAGTTTGCCAAAGTTTGTTTAATATCCATAATTCCTATCAAAATCTATAATTTTCTAAAAATCGTCGCAAATTTGTTTCATTAAAAAAAACAAGCATTTTGAGTTTATGATCAAAATCCATAATTTCGATATAAATCCATAGTTTTTAAAAATCATCAGTTCATTTCATTCAAAAATAAACATTTTGAGTACATTGATCTATTCCGATCAAAATCCATAATTTTTAATAAATAATGGGAATTAAAAACAAGCAATTTAAGCATTTGATCAAAATCCATAATCTCCTAAAACCCAGTTTGTTTAACTTAATTTCTATATAACATTATTATTTACCACAATCTTCTTTTAGGTTTTTTTTTTTTCAATTTCGATCAAAATCCAAAATTCCGATAAAAATCCATAATTTTTTAAAACATGTCGAAAAGTTTGTTTTATTAAAAAACAAGCATTTTGAGCGCATAATTAAAATCCATAATTCTGTTCAAAATCCATATTTTTCTAAAATTCATCGCCAAGTTTGTTTTATGCAAAAACAAGTATTTTGATATATTGATTTATATATAACTCAGATTAATATCCATAATTTTCTAAAAATTTGCCTCATTAAAAACAATAATTTTAAGCCTATGATTAAAATCCATAATTATATAAAAAATCGTGGCAAATTTGTTTAAATAAAAATCAAGCATTTGGATTATTTGTGATCAAAATCCATAGTTTTAAAAATCATCGCAAAGTTTATTCCATTTAAAAATAGGCATTTTGAGTACATTTTGAGATATTGATCTATTCCGATCAAAATCCATAATTTTTAAAAAATAATGGGAATTAAAAAACAATCATTTTAATGAAGTTTGACAAAGTTTGTTTAATATCCATAATTCCTATCAAAATCCATAATTTTTAATAAATAATGGGAATTAAAAACAAGCAATTTAAGCATTTGATCAAAATTCATAATCTCGTAAAACCCAGTTTGTTTAATTTAATTTCTATATAACATTATTATTTACCACAACCTTTTTTTAGGTTTTTAATATCCACAATTTCGATCAAAATCCAAAATTTTTTAAAACTTGTCGCAAAGTTTGTTTTATTAAAAAACAAGCATTTTGAGCGCATAATTAAAATCCATAATTCTGTTCAAAATCTATAATTCTGTTCAAAATCCATATTTTTCTAAAATTCATCGCCAAGTTTGTTTTATACAAAAACAAGTATTTTGATATATTCTTCTATAACTCGGTTTAATATCCATAATTTTCTAAAAATTATTTAAAAGTTTGCATCATTAAAAAACAATAATTTTAAGCCTATGATTAAAATTCATAATTATCTAAAAAAATTGTGGCAAATTTGAGTCTATGATCAAAATCCATAATTTCGATCCAATTCCATAGTTTCTAAAAATCATCGCAAAGTTTATTCCATTAAAAAAATAAGCATTTTCAGTACAATTTGAGATATTGATATATTCCGATCAAAATGCATAATTTTTTAAAAATAATGGATAAAACAAGCATTTTAATGAAGTTTGCCAAAGTTTGTTTAATTTAACTTCCATATAACATTGCATTTTCAGGTGTAAAAATTGGTATTACAGGACAATTGTTTATTATTTACCATTATTTTTTTTTTTGGTTTTTTTTAATATCCTAATTCCTATCAAAATCCATAATTTTCTAAGAATTGTCGCAAAGTTTGTTTCATTAAAAATCAAGCATTTTGAGCACATGATCGAAATCCATAATTCTGTTCAAAATCCATATTATTCTAAAAATCATCGCCAAGTTTGTTCCATTCAAATTTAAAATTCAAAATTTTAAGATATGATCTATAACTCCGATTAAAATCCATAATTTAAAAAAAATTGTTGAAAAGTTTGCTTTATTTTATTTTAAAACAATAATTTTAAGCTTATGATTAAAATCCATAATTTTCTAATAAATCGTCAAAAATTTGTTTCATAATCTATAATTTCAATCTAAATTCAATAATGGGAATTAAAAAACAAGCATTTTAAGTCTATGATCAAAGTTCATAATTTTTAAATACATAATTTCTAAATCAATAGTTTTCCAAAAATCATCTCAAAGTTAAATCCATTTAAAATTGAGCATTTTTAGTTAATTTTAAATATTATTCTATGCCGATTAAAATCCATATTTTTCAAAAAATTATCGGAAAGTATAGCCTTCGTTTAAAATCCATAATTTTATAAGAACTGCTTCATTTAAAAACAATCTTTTTGAGCCTATCATCATTTTCTAAAACTCGTCGCAAAGTTTGTTCCATTTAAAAACAAGCATTTTAATATATTGATCATCAAAATCCATAATTTTCTAAAAATTGTTGAAAAGTTTGCTTCATTAAAACAAGCATTTTAAATACATTTTAAGATATGGATCTATACCGATCAAAATCCATATTTTTTAAAAATTATTGGAATTAAAACCTATGATCAAAATCCATAATTAAAAAAAAATATTATAACAGATTATTTACCACTTAAATGACAACCTTCTTTTAGGTTTTTTCTCCTGGGGACTACATTTGTCGGAAAGGCGACGTCGGAAAAGAAATGTACATAGTCAAGAGAGGCCGTCTTCAGGTGGTAGCTGACGACGGCCTTACGGTGTTGGCAACACTGGGTGCAGGAAGCGTTTTTGGCGAAGTCAGCGTGCTGGATATAGCTGGAAACAGAACTGGAAATCGTAGAACAGCGAATGTCAGATCTTTGGGATATTCTGACCTTTTTTGTCTCGCCAAAGATGACCTTCTGGTGGCCTTGGCTGACTACCCGGAGGTAAGATTTAAACTCAACATTTTTATTTTACCTGCCTTTATAAATTTTATTTATTAGGCCGACAATGAATTAATTTTATAGATTTTTCCTGCTATAATTATATAACCCTGTTAATTCAATTATCTCAAATTCATTTCGTTAATAGCATCATAGCACACTTTAATTATAACTAATTCTATCATTGATGACAAAGTAGTTAAATAAATTTGATAAAAGGAGGTCAAGGGCTAAATATCCATTAAAAAATAAGTACTTCACTTAATTGAAAGGACCCTTGAAACGGGCAAATAAATCATTTTAAGTCCAATATTGTTTTTTCATAAACCTACTACAATTTTAATCTTGTATTATTAAAATAATAAAACACGAATCAATATTGCATTAAAAAAAGCCTCTTATATGTTTTGTATTTTCCACGTGGAAAATACATTTTCACCTGAAATATAATATTTTTCTAAATGCATTCCGAAAATATCCTGATTACATTTCCGAAGGCAATTTACTAAAGGGTGTTTTACGATTACTGACGTGTGGGGAAAATTAAATAGAATTTTCCGAAAGCTTTCCGGAAAGTGTTTGCTATCTTGAATTTCTGTCAGTCTCTTAAGCAGAGTATCAAACATTCTTTTCGAATGCAATGAACATATTCAGGTTTAAGCCTTGGTATTAATTTGTTTTAATTCAAAAACAAGCATCTTAAATCAATGATCAAAATCCATAATTTTCCAAAAATGATCGCAATGCTCCATTTAAAAACAATAACTTTTAGCGTATGATCAATATCCATAATTACGATTAAAATCCATAGTTTTCTAAAAAATCTTAAAAGAATGTATTTCATTCAAAATCAAGCATTTTAAGCCCGTAATTAAAATTCATAATTTTCTAAAAATCTTCGCAAAGTTTATCAAAATCCATAATTTCGATCAAAATCCATATTTTTATTTAAAAACCATTTATAATCTTTACAATGTTTTTTCATTAAAATAACAAGCACTTATTTATTTAAATATATATAATAATAAAAAAGCAAATCAAAATCCATAATTTTTATAAAAATCCATAATTCTGATTAAATACATAATATTTTAAAATTTATTGAAACGTTTTTTTTTTGTAGTAAAGTGTTTTTTAATTATAAACAAGCATTTTAAGCAAATTATTAAAATCCAGCATTTTAAAACAATAATCAATATCCATAATTACGATCAACATCCATAATTATAAATAAAATATCATTGCAAAGTTTTTTTCATTCAAAAACAAGCATTCTCGTAATCAAAATCCATAATTTTCCAAAAACCATTTGAACGTTGCATTAAAAATAATCATTTTGAGCATAAAATCTAAACCCATATTAAAAAAAATGATTGCAGTTTGTTTTGTTTAAAAATAAGGCTTTTAAGCAAATTATCAAAATCCATAATTTGGATAAAAATCCATTTTTTTTAAACCCTTGCAATGTTTTCTGATTAAAAAACAATCACTGAGTCTATGATCAAAATACAAAATTTTTTAAAAATCGTAGCAAAGTTTGTTTTATTTAAAAATAAGCATTTTAAAACGATAATCATAATCCATAATTTCATAATTATATCATAGAAACGTTTGTTTAATTCAAAAACAAGTATTCTGACCTAAGCTCAGTGAGCTTATGATCAAAATCAATAATTTTCTAAAAAACATTGCATTAAAGCCTATGATCAAAATCCATAAAAAAATCGTGGCAGTTTGTTTCATTCGAAAATAGGCATTTTAAATATATAATAAAAATCCATAATTTTGAACAATTCATAATTTTCTAAAAAAAATCATCGCAAAGTTAGTTTTGTTCAAATTAAAAAATTTTAAGCGTTTGATTATTATCCATAATTTTCGCAATTCATAATCATCGCAGTTTGTTTTAGTAAAAAAACAGCATTAAGAGCCTATAATTAAAACTCATCATTTAAAAAAAATTGTCGCAGTTTGTTTCATTTCAAAATAAGCGTTTTGAGCATTAAAAATCCATAATTTTTTAAAAATCGTTTTATTCAAAACCAATAATTTTGAGACATTAATCAATATCAATAATTTTGATCAAAATCTACAATTTGCTAAAAATCATTGCTAAGTTTGTTTATTTTAAAAACAAGCATTCTGAGCTTATGATTAAAATCCATAGTTTTCTAAAAACCATTGCAAAGTTGCAATAAAAACTAGCATTTCGAGCCTATGATCAAAACCCATAATTTAAAAAAAAATCTTCGGAGTTTGTTTTATTTGAAAATAAGCATTTTAAACATATAATAAAATCCACAATTTTGATCAAATTCATAATGTTCTAAAAAAATCATCGCAAAGTTAGTTTTGTTCAAAACTTAAGAATTTAAAGCGTATGATCAATATCCATAATTTTGATCAAGATCTATAATATTCCAAAATTCATTGCAAAGTTTGTTTCTTTTAAAAACAAGCATTCTAAGAATATGATCAAAATCCATAATTTTTTAAAAAGCATTGCAAAGTTGCAATGAAAACAAGCATTTATGATAAAAACCCATAATTTCGAAAATAAGCATTTTAAGCATATAATAAAAATCCATAATTTTGATCCAACTCATAATTATAATTTTCCAAAAGTTTGTTTCGTTCAAAATCAAGAATTTTAAGCATATGGTCAATATCTATAATTTTCGCAATTCATAATCATCGCAGTTTGTTTCACGGCCATTTCAAGCACTCGAAACGCACGAATTATAAAACTGTTTTTATAAAAAAAATTGTAGATTATTTATTATATAATATTTTGGCATCAAAATTGGCAAAAATATTCTTCTTTTATTAGGTTATACATTAAATAAAAAAAACTCAAGAAATATTTTATGAAAGTAGATATAATTTTAATAATTGAAAGGTGTGGACGGGACAAAAAAAAGATTTATCTTGTCCCGTCCATCCCTGTCAATTATTGAAATTATCTCTACTTTTATAAAATATTTCTTGCGATTTTTTTATTTAATGTATGCCCTTATAATAGAAGAATTTTTTTGACAATTTTGATGCAAAAATAATAAATAATAAATTAGCTACAATTTTTTTTATAAAAACAGTTTTGTGATTTGTCCCGTCCATCCGCTTGAAATGGCCGTTCAGTAAAAAAACAAGCATTTAGAGCGTATAATCAAAACTCATGATTTAAAAAAACTCGTCGCAGTTTGTTTTACTTAAAAATAAGTATTTTGAGCATATAATTATAGAATTCATAATTTTCTAAAAACTTTGAAAAGTTTTTTTCATTAAAAAACAAGCATTTTAAGCCTATGATCCAACCCCTAATTTTGATCAAAATATGAGTTTTTTACGAAGAAAATGTTATTTTATATGAGAACATGCTTATATTGATTTCTTCTTTAAATTAACAAAAACAAAAATACTCATCTCTTTAAACTTAGGCCAGAGCAACTTTGACAGAGCGCGGTTGCCAACTGTTGCGCAAAGACGGCCTTCTAGACGAGGACGTGTTCAAAAAGGCGCGGGAAACGCAGGACTCGATGGCCGACAGCATCAGGAAATTGGAAAACACGGTGGACATCCTGCAAAACCGATTGGCCAGATTGCTTGCAGAATACAGCGCCAGCCAAGCGAAAATCAAACAACGTCTAACCAAAGTCGAAACTAGGTGAGTGTAAAAGAATTGATTTTTTTTGTTTTAAAAACTTAAGTATTTGAATTTTTCTTCAAACAATTGTCAGTAGAACTGTTGTAAAATACTAAATGTTAAACGGTATTTTTTATTAATCAATTGATTTAACAAAAACTAGCGAAATGGAAAATACAAAACAACACCACACAATATAAATGGAATACAATTTATACTTCAATAAGACTGGACTGAACAAAAATTTTAACGTTTTAAAGGTAACAGTAAAAAATAATTTTACGCACGAATTATTAATTTACTATACACAATAGAAGTCACATGCACTATTATAGGCACCGAAATGTGATGTGGCAATAACTTTTTAATGTATATATGTTTTATTAAAAACATTTCACTAAAAACAGCACAGCTATTATATTTATCCAACATTGAAAACCCTTTTGATATTTTTTAAATTACAATGGAATGTCCCATATATATGTTAAGTTCACCCACCAAAAGACTGACTATTCTCATACATACACACAAAATTTTATTTAAAAAGTCCCGTTATTAACTGCACAGAAACCTTTTTTACCCTAAACCAACATTTCAAAGTATGTGTAGGTATGTGTTTGTATTCCTAAAACGAAATATAAATCAAGCGAAAACAAGTTCGCTTATATCTGACACTTTTAAAACTCCAACAAATGTAAGTTATTTGTTTTATAAAAAATGGCGCGCCTTCAGCCGGAAATTTATGCCGTTTTATAATGTTAAAAGTAAAAAATGGTAACTTGACGAAACGGTTTTATTTATAGAGGTAAAACTTTTTGTATTTATTTTTTTTTAAATCTTATTTTCAGCATTTCAAAAAACTTAAATACAAACAAGAACAAGTATCAAAAAATGTTTTTCATAATTCGCATCAAAATTCTTAATTTTAAAAAAATCATAACAAGAATTTTGAATCCATTATCACGATCAACATCCATATTTTTTTTAAAACATCCCATTTGTTTATTTACAAAAACAAACATTTTGAGCCCATGATCGAGATCCATAATTTTCCAAAAATCATCGCAAAAACAAGAATTTTGAGCCCTAGATGTCAAAATCCATAATTTCGATCAAAATCCATAATTTTCTAAAAATCATCGCAAAGTTTGTTCCATTTAAAAACAAGTATTTTGAGTCCATGATCAAAATCCATTAAGTTCTAAAAATCATTGTTTGTTTTAACTCAAAAACAAGCATTTTAAGCCCATGATCGAAATCCATAATTTTGATCAATATCTATAATTTTTTAAAAATCATCGCAAAGTTTGTTTTATTTCAAAACAAGAATTTTGAATCCATTATCAAAATCCATAATATCGATCAACATCCATATATTTTTTTAAACCATCCCATTTGTTTATTTACAAAAACAAACATTTTGAGCCCATGATCGAGATCCATAATTTTCCAAAAATCATCGCAAAAACAAGAATTTTGAGCCCTAGATGTCAAAATCCATAATTTCGATCAAAATCCATAATTTTCTAAAAATCATCGCAAAGTTTGTTCCATTTAAAAACAAGTATTTTGAGTCCATGATCAAAATCCATAAATTTCTAAAAATCATTGTTTGTTTTAACTCAAAAACAAGCATTTTAAGCCCATGATCGAAATCCATAATTTTTATCAATATCTCCATAATTTTTAAAAAATCATCGCAAAGTTTGTTTTATTTCAAAACAAGAATTTTGAATCCATGATCAAAATCTATAATTTCGATCAACATCCATATTTTTGAAAAATCATCCGAAGTTGTTTATTTAAAAAAACAAACATTTTGAGCCCATGATCAAGATCCATAATTTTCCAAAATCATCGCAAAGTTTCTTTCATTAAAAAACAAGCCTTTTGAGTATATGATCCATAATTTTCTAAAAATCATTGCAAAGTTTGTTTAATTAAAAAACAAGCATTTTGAGCCCATGATCTAAATCCATAATTTCGATCAGTAATCATTGCAAAGTTTCTTCCATCGAAAATCTAGCCTTTTAAGTCCATTATCACAATCCATAATTTGCAATTTGCAAGGTTTGTTTAATTTAAAAACGCATTTTGAGCCCAATATCAAAATCCATAGTTTCATAAAAATCATCGCAAAGTTTGTTTTATTCAAAAACACGCTTTTGGAGTCCATTTTCGATCAAACCGATTATTTTGTAAAAATCGTCGCAAAGTTTATTCCATCAAGCATTTTAAGCCTATGATAAAAATTCATAATTTTGTAAAAATCATCGCAAAGTTTGTCTTATTCAAAAACAAGCATTTGGACACTTCTATCAAAAACCATAATTTTCTAAAAATCACAGTAAACTGTGTTTTATTTAAAAACAAGGATTTTAAGCCAATGATCGAAATCCATAGTTTCCATCAAAATCTTGGCAAAGCTTGTTTTTTATATTTTATTTTCGTCATAAATTTCGCATTATTATCCATTTTTTAAACAGGGTTTCGAACAAAATAAAATAACAAGTGCTTATTGCTAAAAACATATTTTACTGCCCAATCTTTTACTCAAACTGATATATGAACTTTTACGGGCCTATATAAATTTTATTTTCCAGATTTATTCGGAAAAATCATAATATCTTCGTCCTTCCATTAACAGCTTTGATATTGGATATAAGCGTTAAAGGTCGTCATATTTTTCATTGAAATTGTAATACAGGGTGTTAGAGTAGACGCGCCGCCTTTTTTATATGTTATGTAACAAGGTTTTCTATTAACTATTACTAAAATTAATTCTTGAGTAAATTTATTTTGGTCCAAATTAATTTTTATGAAAAAAAATTAATTATTTGAAATATAAACTAGCTAAATTTTCGATTGAACCACTGTGCGCAGCACGGGTTTTAATATTGTGTAAAATAACGTTTTACTTGTGACGTGACTTTCTGAAAGTATTTTTTTGCGTTCTTTTATATATTGAGTTTCTCGTTGAAAAGGTACGAATATTTTGTTTGTTTAGTATAAAATATGCTGAGTATTGCTTTTAAGGCCAACAAAAATACATATCAGTCCATTTTATTCAAATCTGATTAAAAAAAGTGCTGCGACTTTTAACAAATTTAGGTACAGTTTTTCTACTTCGATGTTCCTGATAATTTCGTGAAACTTTTATTCAGGGACTGTGCCAACAATGATTTTCTGAAAACAGCAAAATACATTTTCTTTGTTCTCTGTGTTTTATCGCCTTATTATTTTGCTTAGCCCTGGTACCACATTTAATAAGACTCTCTAAAGGTCTTTCAACTCTTTTAAATCTATTTGAAAAATACAATCCATATAATTTAAGAAACCTGCACAATTCAATTTGGTTACGTCTTTTCCATCGCAATTCAATATTCTTAACAAATTTAATCAACATATCCTGGTATTCGTTCTTTTACACTTATTTTTTAAAACAAAAAAGGCATCATGTTCAATCCTTCAGCTTCAATCATTCCTTAAAAAGCTCTTTGCTGAAAATTGAAAATAAGTAGAAAAAAATACAGAATAAATGTTGGGCCTCCATTTTTTTTATTAATGTAAAGTCACTTAAGTTACTTTATGAAAGCATTTACCAAATCCTTGTAAACGTTCGATTTGGCTGAAATTGTTCTACCGTATCAAAATCATTTATCAGAATTTTTTGTACCCAACCAAAACTGAAATTTTTAAAATTTACTTATCGGCAGATTTTTTTTAATTACTTGTTTTTAAATCTACTTTTCGGAAAAATATGGAAAAAAATTATTAAGATCTATCGTTTTTTTAATGTTTTTCTTAATTTGTATCAAAATTTGTATTAAAAATCATAACATTAAAAACAAGAATTTTGAATCCATAATTTTGATCAAAATCCATATATTTTTATAAACCATCCCATTTTTTATTTACAAAAACAAAAATTTTGAGCCCATGATCAAGATCCATAATTTTCTAAAAATCATCGCAAAGTTTGTTCCATTTAAAAACAAGCATTTTGAGTCCATGATCAAAATCCATAATTTTCTAAAAATAATTGCAAAGTTTGTTTAATTCAAAAACAAGCATTTTGAGCCCATGATCGAAATCCATAACTTAGATCAATATCCATAATTTTTTAAAAATCATCGCAAATTGTGTTCCATTTAAAAACAAGAATTTTGAATCCATGATCAAAATCCATAATTCCGATTAACATCCATATTTTTAAAAAAATCATCCCAAGTTGTATATTTAAAAAAAAAACAATCATTTTGAGCCCATGGTCAAGATTTTCCAAAAAATCATCGCAAAAACAAGATGTCAAAATCCATAATTTCGATCAAAATCCATAATTTGTTTGTTTCATTAAAAAACAAGCATTTTGAGCCCATGATCGAAATCCATAATTTCGATCAATATCCATAATTTTTTTAAAATCATTGGAAAGTTTGTTCCATCCAAAATCTAGCCTTTTAAGTCCATTATTACAATCCATAATTTGGAATTTGCAAAGTTTGTTTAATTTAAAAACGCATTTTGAGCCCAAGATCAAAATCCATAGTTTCATAAAAATCATCGCAAAGTTTGTTTTATTCAAAAACAGGCATTTGGAGCCCATGATCGAAATCCATAATTTTTATCAACATCCATAATTTCGATCTAAATCCATAATTTTTTAAGATTCATTAATAAGCTTTTCTTTTAATTTTTGTCATAAATATTGCATTTTAACGCATTTTAAGACCAAGATCAAAATACATAGTTTCATAAAAATCAGTAGTTTGTTTCATTAAAAAACACGCATTTGGACCCCATGACATTTCTTATTAATAAGGAAAGAAATTGAAAACAAAAAAACGCCACTCTAAAATTTAAAAAAAATTGCAAAAAATGTCAAAATTTCTAATAAAAAAAAAATTAAAATTACAATCGAGAAATTTTCGTTTATTTATTCAAAAAAACACATTGAAACAGGCCTAAATAAATTTATTCTATATGTATTTTTCTGAAATGAACAAAAATTTCTCGATGATTGTAATTTTTAATTTTTTTTATTAAAAACCTTGAAGTTTTCTGCAAATTCTCTAAAATTGTTAGAGTTGCATTTTTTCGTTTTTAATTTTTTATAATTATTTAATTTAAAATCCCCAGAGTGGTATTTTGAGAAATAAGCAGAGTTAAAAAAATAATAGAAAAAAATTGAAAACGAAGAAACGCCACTCTAACAATTTTAGAGAATTTGCAGAAAGTGTAAAATTTACTAAAAAGAAAAAAAAATTAAAAATACAAAAAAAGACATTGAAATTATTATATTATTATAATAATTATAGGCCTAAATAATTTTTTTCTATATTTTTATAAAAACTTTTTTTTGGTTGGGTAAAGAAATTTAAAATATTCTGAAAAATGTTTTTGATGTGGTAGAAAAGGATTAAAAAAGTTTTGGCCAAAAGTAGTCAAAAGTAGTCGATTTTTTTATTAGATATTAAGATATTTTTTGCAAATTTTCTTAAAAAGAAAAAAATTTAAAACGTAAAAACGCCACTCTAACAATCTCTAAACAAGTTTCTAATAAAAAAAAAAGAAAAAAACTTATATTAAAATTACAATCATCGAGAAATTTTCGTTTATTTCCAAAATTTAAAAAAACACATTGAAATAGGCCTAAATAATTTTATTCTATATTTTTCTGAAATAAACAAAAATTTCTCGATTATATATTTTTTCTTACTATTTTAAAAGACATTGGAATTTTTGGAGTTAAAAAAATAATAGAAAAAAAATTGAAAACGACAAAACGCCACAATTTTAGAGAATTTGCAGAAAATTAGAAATTTTCGTTGAAATAAGCCTAAATAATAAATTTAAAAACAACGTCCCAAAAAGTCAATCTTGACTTAAATTTAAAGAAATTAAAAAAAATGTTTTTGATAGGGTAAAAAAAGATTTAAAAAAGTTCTAGCCAAATCGAAAGGGGTTGGTATGGTCCGCAGATGTGGTTTCCAAAAAATTGCAAATACATCTTGAACTATCAAATGGCAATATTAAAAGAAGTAGAAAATTTGAATCTAAAGTCTACATTTAAGATCATAGTGCGTCTGTTAAAAACCACCCGTATGAATCTAATAAAAAAACATCTCCCAACGGCATCTTTACCTCGCGCAAATATTTTTTATTGAAAACACACACGCAAACGGCTCGAACAAGATAAAATGTACAGCTCGCCAGGGATATGTATCCCGTTCTGGCATGCGATTTATCAAAAAAGATACGACACCAGAGCAATTAAACAGGCAATAAGTCCACGTCGCGTCGGTTGAAGACCGCATCTGGCACGAGAGAGAGGATACATTAGCTGCGTAATTTCTCAAAATTTGCGAAGCCGAGTTATGTAAATCGGAATTGATAGCCTGTCGGTTCTGTTACTGCAAGCCTGTTGTTACCTGATATCTTAGTTTATCCGGGAATATAACAGCCAATAATTGAGATTTTATCCCTTAGGTACACTGGGTTATGAATATTTGCTTTACACCTACACATGTAGTTAGGGTTGGGAAAATTTCACTTTTTGCTTTTACTTGAAATTTATTAAAATTTCCTAAATGTCTGAAATTTCATGAAATTTATGAAATTTATTGAAACTTTTAATAAATTTCAATCACTTTAAGTGTAATATATTAATATTGAAATAAGCCCACTCGGGGACCATGGCAAATTGCCTCTCTTACCTCCTACCCCTCTGTGGGCCCCTGCATCAATAATATAAATAGTAAATACCTATGTTTACCACAAATTTCTTGAGATTTACTTTTAAAATATTTTTAAAATTACTAAAACTAAGAGAGATATAGCACTTTTTGGTAAGCTAATGAGATTGTGCCACTTTCATTGTTTTATATTTATATATATATATATATATATATATATATATTTATTATTTTTATATATTTTACTGAAATTTTACAAAAATTAAAGAAACTTCATCAAAATTTTATGAGCCAAAGGCATTTTTTAGTAAAAGTAAAAGTTTAAATTAATCATGACCTTAAAAAAATTGAAGTCTGATTTAATTTTCTAATTAAATTGGTAACTGAATTAAATTATTTAAATTAATTTATGCATATAAGTAACAATAATTACTTATAGTGTATTAAAATCCAAGCCGAACTAAACAAAAACGCCCAGACGCTTGATAACTCGTTCTTATTGGTCGATTTAGAATTTGTTGTAAATTATTATTTATGCGAAATTTTCAGTAAATTGCGAAACTTTCAATGAAATTTCTAAAAGTTTCACAGGCAATGTTGAAATTTTCGAATTGAAAATTTCATTTGAAATTTTTAAAAATTTCACTTTTCCAACTAAATGAAATATTTCAAGTTTGAAACTTTCAAAGTTGAAATTTTCATTTGAAAATTTCAACTGTCCCAACCCTACATGTAGTAGATTACTATTATGTACTATACTGGTAAAATTTAAGTTTTTGTGTTATTTTGTCCAATTACACTAAAAGAAAAAAATTGGTTAAATTAACCAATAAATAGTTAAATCAAGTTTTTACACATTCAATACACACAATGTTTACTTGGAGTTAAAAGAACCATTTATGAATTTTAAAATATAAATGTTGTTTCAACAAATTAAAATTATTAAATGAAAATATCAAATACTTATTTTAACCTTTGAACTTTTTTGGTTCTACCACTAAAATTAATAAAATAAAATACACGGAATATTAAAATAATACTATCGTAATATTTAATCAAATTATTAAAAATATTAGTGAAATAATAAACATGGGAGCAGTTTTAGTTCTTAAAATTACTTGGATTATAAATTTAAAGGTTAAAAAAATGAATTCTTACTTAAATCAAATAATTAAAATATTGATTCATAAAATTTTAGGGTAAACCACATAGTTTTTGGACACTTAAGGAATATTATTTATTTAAAATTTATATATGCCCTTGTTTTAAAAATTTTAGTTTTTTTATTATAACGATATAAAAAGGATAGTTTGTTTATTTAAACTTTATTTACGTTTACTTTAAAACCAGAATATTTTAATTTTTAATATTAGTTTTATAAAAACATGCAAAAAAGTATAGTAATTGGACATTTTATATAGTAATTGGACACATGGACCATAGTTATTGGACATACAATTTTTATATAAACATAACAACTTTACATCAAATAACATAAATTGTTAAATATTTTTTAAAGATAAATTGCTGTTTTAGGTAATTTTTTTTATTTCGTTTTTTTAATTACCATATAATTCATATATTTCTTTCTCGGATTCCTCATCTCTTTTCTGGATTCTGAAGGTAACTACTAATTCCTTGGTCTGACTTCTTCCGGACTTAGTCCGGAACAGGATGATTTATATATATCTAATTATTTTTTGGGTAGTATGTTAAAAGTATTTTCCGAATTTATTAATTTTGTTTCCATTAGTTTTTTATGTTCTCTATCATGCACTGTATTTAAATCACTGTTATTCTGCAAGATGTCCTGTGACGAAGAAATCACCATATTACTTACTTTCTAAAAATGAATTAGTCAAAAATGTCTTGCGAAAAAGCAGCCACTAATAATTCTCGTCAACAGCAATTTGTATCCAGGACATTTAGCAGTCAATTCCTATGAAATATTATTTGTTGATTCCGAAAATGTCAAAAGTTATAAAAGTAGAACAGTTTTTGAAATATAATCAATTTTACATATAATATGGAATTGACTATATCTCAAAAACTGCTTAACTTTTATAGTTTTGACGGTCTTTTCGGATTCAGGGGACAATTTTACATAAGAATTGGCTGGTAAATGTCCGGGATATAAATAGAGTATGATATGTCCAATAAAAGAAATTTACATTTTTTACCAAGTAATTGGACACTGATCATTTAACTGTTTGTTTTCAGAATTAAAATTAAAACAAATTAGTGAGAATGTTTACACCATGAGGAACACATTTATACCACACACTGATGTGTACACTTTTTAGAAATATTTTATTTAAAATGTTGGATAATTAAACCAAATATCAAATTTATTTCAAAAACTTTATTAGAAATGTACAAATTTATTTGAACACAAAATAAAACATTATAGATTTAAATCAATTTTTTTTTACTTTTTTTTGAATTTATGTATCCAAAATTTAATTAAAATAAAAAAATTGATTTTTTTTGCGGTTGAATAATTATTATTAAATGTAGGTAATTTTGACAATGTTTGTTTATTTTAACAAATAAAGTTGATAGATGAATATGGAAATTTTTTTCGATTTTTTAGCACTGATCGAGAAAAAGACGGTCCCATCTCGGACACTTTAGCAATTCCAGTAGGTCGAAGGAGGCTGAGGTCGTTTGAGGCCCGAAGAGAAATTTCCGCTATAATTTCTCGACACAGAACTATGTAAAACTTAATTTTATTTTTTGTTTAAATCTGCAGTGTTTAATTATAAGTTTGAACTAAAATGTTATCTTGCACCAGAAGGAATTTAAAGTAGTTCCAATGTTTCATAAAGTAAGCTAAGAATTTCATTTGTTTCATTTTTGAAACAGGCGGTAAATATAGTCAATACATCCAAAGAAAAAATGCGACGAAAACATAGGATTAGACATATCTAAACAATGAAAAGAACCACTTTTTTATTAACAAAAAAAATAATTTTTTGTGCTTAGTTATTTAGATGTAAGTAAATTACAAGCCTTATTATGATTGTGATATGTCATGTTTTAATGTACATAATAATTGTTAAGATCTATTTTAAGACAACTAATTGTTAAGACATATTTTTAGAAGGAACAAATATAAAAAAATTATGTATGTAGAGAAATATTTAATATAATTAAATTTATTATATAAAAATGTGTAAAAGAATAATAAATGAATGTAATTTACGATTTTTGCGTTTTATTTTAATTTACAACAATAATACCTTGGATGTTAGAGAAGATGGTAAGTATGAATTTTCTTATATACAGGGTGTCATTTAACTTGAAACTTTGATATATCTCAGTTAGTAGGCATTTTACGAAAAACTGTTTAAAATAAAAATTAAATGATTTTGTTCTTCTGTATACGATTCTGCAATAATTTTTCTATAAAAATTTCACTTTTTTTGGTAATAATTATCTTATTAAATTAAATCTGACATTTTTAAGTAACCACGATTTTTTAACTAATATATAAGTTTCCTTTGGTTTAAGTTTTATACATTATTTCATTCGGTGATAATTATCAATTGCGCACCAGGGTCACTCTTTACCTGCCAGCATTAAATTCTTTACTTTAAATTATTTTATTATTATTTCTTTTAATCCTTTGAATATTGTACTATTTTTAATAAAAATACCTCAAACATTATTTTGTCAATTAATTAATTTAATCCTAATTGAGGTATACAAAAATGGTATATATTCATTTCTATTTTTTCTTCCACTGCTAAAAAATCCATTATGAACACCTAACTAACGAGTTTGCAAATTAATCTTCGAACTAAATAAAATTTAACATTCAACATTTTGTCAGCAACCTTTTAAATTAAATTGGTGGATTTGATATGGATCAGCTATTTAGGTAATCTTGGGTGAAATAAAAATTCAATTAAAATGCATATTATCTCTTTAATTATAATCGTTAGAGATAAGATACCCGCTAACAAATACTTTAATTTTGATGTTTTATTAAGGCGTATTAATTATTATAATGGCTCTTAAATTAGCTGTGATTTTTATTGTTTTTTGCTCTGTTGTAGTTTTTGGTGAGTACAGATTTTATTTATAATTGTGATTATACAAAAAATCATTAATTTAAGCGGTGCCAACCTTAAAAGTTACTAATGGAATCAATGCGAATACTGGACAATACCCTTTTGCAGTAAGTTAATAATCCTGATTTATTAATATTGCAAGATTTTTTGCGTGAAATTAAAAAAACTTCATATTAAGTAGTTTTTTTGGATGTAAGGTCTTTTTAAAACAAAAACGTAAAACGAAGCAAGATGGGAAAAACAGTATAGAAACAAACAAGTTTTTTCAGGAAAGAAGATTAAAACAAAGCAGTGGCGTGCCATATTTCTCCTTAAAACTGAATACGTTTTTTTATTTACAAAAAATCAGAAAATTAAAAAAAAAATCAAAACTATCTTGGTAAACAAGCGTTTTTAGAAAGTATTCCTATTTTTCCAATATTAATAAATAACAATATACAGGGTGTCCCATAACTCTCCCCACAGATAAAAGGGGGCGTGCTGATAGCAAAGGAGATGCAAAATTAAAAAAAAATCTAGATAATAGCCCAGACTGCAGTGAAGGTTCGAAAATATTCCAGGAATATGCCCTATCATCTAGGAATAATCCTCTAAAACTTCCAAGCACCATCTAAGAACATTCCCAGTGAATATTTATTAGGAATATTTCATAGAATAATCCTCTACAACTTCCAAGCAACATCTTGGAACAAAAATGTTCTTTATATTCAAAAAACAATATATAATTTTCTCTTTCTACAAATTGGTTATATTCCAGGAATATGCGCTATCATCTAGGAATAATCCGCTTCATTCTAGAAATATTCATTAGATGGTTCTAAGAACATTCCCAGTGAATATTCATTGGGAATATTTTATAGATTATTTCCCTCATTATAATATGAACCACTCAAAAGCCTTGAATTTTCGAATAAATTTCGTTTAAAACTATTTAACAGCGATTAAATTTTAGCCTCCATATTGGATTTTTGTTTACGATTTTATGGTATTATTTTATTTTATATTTAAGTTTTAACAAACATTTTTAAAAAAACAATAAAAAAAAAGTTATCTAGTTTACGAAATTTCAATTATTACTTATTACATTACATACCTTAAGTTAATGGAATTTTCTTTAAAAAAATATTTATAAATTTTGACACATATGTCAGATTTTATGAATTGTCAAATAGTTTCCTTTAATTCGAGAAATAATCTAGACGTATATCACTCAACCTATAAATTTAATCTGTCAAACTATGCTCAGTAAGTTTTTTATTTGATTTTTCTTTTTGGAAAATAGTTTCATGCAAAATAATTAAAAATAAAACCCCTCGACCGCTACGCGGTCTCGTGATTTTATTAAATTATTTTGCATTCAACATTTTCCAACAAAAACCAAACAAAAAACTACTGAGCCTAGTTTAACCGATTAAATTCATAGTTCTCGTGATATAATATATGAATAATCCTCTACAACTTCCAAGAAACATCTTGGAACAGTCCCAGTAAATGTTCTTTATATTCAAAAAACGATATAAAATTTTCTCTTTCTACAAATTGGTTATATTCCAGGAATATGCGCTATCATCTAGGAATAATTCGCTTCATTCTAGAAATATTCATTGGGAATATTCCATAGAATGATCTTCTAATACTTCCAAGCACCATCTAAGAACATTCCCAGTGAATAATCATTGGGAATATTTCATAGAATGATCCTCTACAACTTCCAAGCAACATCTTGGAACATTCTCAGTGAATGTCCTTTATATTCAAAAAACAATAAATAATGTTCTCTTTCTACAAATTGGTTATATTCCGGGAATATGCGCTATCATCTAGGAATAATCCGCTTCATTCTAGAAATATTCATTGGGAATATTCCATAGAATGATCTTCTAAAACTTCCAAACACCATCTAAGAACATTCCCAGTGAATATTCATAAGTTTAGTTGCAATACCTCTCACTGTTGCTTACGCACGATTACAACTATATATACCGATATGTTACAAATATCAGTTGGAGATGTGCTTCTGTGATGGCACAACTAAACAATGATCTACCTACTCAGTAACTAATAATGGCTAGTTAAGTTAAGTTCCTGGGTATAAGTGGCCATAAGGAGTAATCCCCAAATTATATTAAAGTACGTTCTCCTAATAATACTTAAGTCAAATCATTACATTTTAGGTATCTTTTAGATTTAGAAACTGCCATAACTGTGGAGGCTCCATTATAGGAGAAAACTGGGTACTTACAGCTGCTCACTGTGTATACCCAAGGTATGAACATTTTTTCAAAATTATAATTTAAGTTTTACTTTTTTGGTTTTTAGATCTATGCGCCTGGCCGATATAATGTATGGCACCATAGATTCAAATAATTGCAAAGTGGTTCCAAATAACACAGTGAAAATCAAGAGATATGTTGTTCATGAGGATTACTCCACAGTTGATGGTCATAACAATGATATCGCCTTATTGGAAGTAAGTTTTTGGAGTCCTAAAGGAACATTCAAATAAAACTTCTTTTAAATATTTTAGATGGAAAAACCTTTCAAATTCTCCGATGAGGTCCAACCTGTTAGACTTCCGGAACAAGATTCGCATCCTGAAGAAACCGATGACGCAAGATTGGTGGGTTGGGGATACACGAAAGATAAAGGTGTGGTGATGCCTATTTTACAACAGGTCAGCCTGGTGATATTCCCTGACGACTTCTGCGAACTTTACCATAGTTCAAACTATTCCACCTGCTCTCATATCTGCGCTGGGGTCTATGGAAATGGAAAGGGCCAGTGCACTGTAAGAAGATTGATATATTAAGGATTTTTGGGTAAACTTTTTTTGTAGGGTGATTCAGGTGGTCCCTTGACTGTTAATGGTACTCAATATGGTATTGTGTCCTGGTCTGACAAACCTTGCGCTTCTTCTCCAGGAGTCCTCACCAGAGTATCGAGTTTTAGAGACTGGATACATAAAATAACAGGAATATAAGAAAATATATTTATCACAACATTATTAAATTGTTTTATTCTAACCTTCATCTTGACATTTTCAATTCAATTGACAACCAAGATTTTTTAAAAATTACCAACCAAAATTCCAGTGTATAATCATCATAATATCTAATAAATAAATCATGATGGGCGGGTGTAAGAAGCATGGCAATAAAGCTTATTATACAGGCAATGTTCCGAAGAGAAGACGATTTAAAAAGAAGAAAAATTTACCGAGACCGCCTTCGCCAGAACCTCGAAAGAATTCGTCGAGAATCAAAATTTGTATAGGTAAATCAAACTGCAGATTTTTGTAACAGCACCATTTACTTTTTTTTGTAATATTTACAGTAAAAGATCAGAGTGTTCCTGCTACCAGGAGAAGAATTCAGGGTTTAAAACCAATTCAACAATACAAAAGTCAGGACGGGAAAAGTGGTAAAATATATACATAGACATATAGTCGAATCAAAATACTAATGGTTTAGTTTTTAGATAGGGATGTTTTTTATTTACCAGATGATATAGATGCAGGTATATTTATGATATTAAATAAGGTCTCTATCATGTTATAATTAACTTAATTTTTAAACGCAGATACATTTCGTTGTTATGGCGAGACTGATGATGAAGGTAATTTTTTAAGATGAATAAAATTATATACAATTTGTTGAGGGATGGGGTATGGAATATAAAAACTTTTGTAGGGTTTATATTCTTATTCTATCCATAAATAAGAGTGGTAATCTACACTCACGTGCGAAATAATCGATCCACACAAATTTTCGATGAATTTCAATCGCAAATAACTTTTTTATTTGATCTCGGATTTAAACGATTTAAACGGATTTAAACGAAATTAATGGACAATCGCTAACATTTTTAAAAAATACTAAAAAATAGACGTACGTTTATAATATACAGGTTTAAACAAAAATATGTTTTTTACCATAAGTTTAAGACACTCTGTAGAGTGGCAAAACCGTATATTGTTCTAAATTAAGTTTTATTTATCAAGTCACATCTATTCTTAACAGTTTTGTTTTTGGTTCACCTCGATATATTTATTTTTGTGGAAA